TACGTTTAATTAATAAAAGAAATACCAATGCCGTATTCAAATAGAACTTTTTCAATCCATTTCTTTTAATTCAAGTAAAACTCAATCGATTCATAACAAACCAATTCCTCACTAAGTGTGCACACCCCCCAAGTGGTTTACTTTATAATCAAAAGCCAAACTTGAGGAAAGACTAGGTCATGCAAAGTCCATAGTCTTCTCTAATCCATTCCCTAAGTGGGATTCAACATATCGATTGATTTGTTTTAAAAACTATTCTTTAAAAATCCATCAACAACTTGCAAATCATTTCTAATAACTTCCAATCACAATTTAAGGTCTCTTTTAATTTAAATCCAAATCATTCAATTCAATCCGGCATAATTTCATAATTTAATACGGAACATAATATCATAAATTCATACGGAACATAAAACATGATTTCATACGGAATGTAATAAAATATGGTTTGATACAGAACATAATAATTTATAGTTTCATAATAAATCATAGTTTCATACGGAACATAATTTATAGTTTCATAAATATAATTTCATACGGAATAAATTATAATTTCATACGATCATAAAATGTAGTTTCATAATCAAATTTCGAAGGTATCAAACCACATAACGTACCTTGATCAATCACGAGCGATTCACAACTACTTCTCTAAATCACGAACACCCTACACATAATTATAACCTTAATTAATATAAGGCTATCAAATAAACACAACAACTTAATTAAACTACCCTATATGTGCATGAATTAATTATCATTTTATAAAATAATTTTCTGTTTATAATTTAAAGATTTTTCTGTTTTTATAAAGTTAATTTGTGTAAGAAATAATATTTAGGAGAATGCACTAGACGAAAATAAAAATTTGGCACCGGTTCAAACCCCCCCTACGGCACCGGTTTTGAACCGTTGGGGATTTGAGGGATGCCAAATCCTAAAAAATTTGGCACCGGTTCAAAACCGGTGCCAACTAAAGCCCTTTGGCACCGGTTAACCGGTGCCAACTACCTAGATATTGATTAAAAAAAATGGCGCCATTAGGTTGGCACCGGTTAACCGGTGCCAACTACCTTGATTTAGCACCGGTTAACCGGTGCCAACTATAATGGCGCCAGTTTTTTTTTAATAATTTCAATGTAGTTGGCACCGGTTTTAAGAATGAACCGGTGCCATTGACTTGGTTTTTTTTTTTTTTTTTTTTTCTGGAAATAATATATATTAATATTTATACTAATACCTGCACATAATACGCATAAGATCCTGCACATAATACCGATAATTAATAATAATAATAACTATTATTATTATTAATTTTCTTAATAATAATAGTTATTATTATTATTAATTTTAATAATAATAATAATTATTCTTAATATAATATTAATAATAATTAGTATTATTAATATATTAAAAATAACAACAATTGAAAATAATAACAAGGACATAAATATAGATAACAATCCCAAAATATTATATTAATTACAAAATTGTGTCATAACTACAAACAAACAAAATTAGTTAGTAATAATGTAGTACACTAAGCTTGTTAAAACAAAAATAAATGATATTTACAAATTAAATGTGATGTAGGCCGATAACATGTCTCGAATTACATTGAGTTCCTCGCTTGTGAACGGATTTCCCGTTTGTCCATTGCAAAACTTGGAATACATACACAAAACGTAAGTTAGTAGGAGTAAACTCATAAATAGTCATAACATGTCAATATCACTTAGTTATAGGTGGCCAAGGCTTGAAATTAAAAGAAAACAACAATTAAGGGGTTGTAGAACGCATTTTCAACCAAAATGGCCCGAGTAAGGCCATTTTCACTACAAGGATGCCTATTTCCTACAATTCTTGTCTAGTGAACTCATAAATAGTCATAACATGTCAATATCACTTAGTTATTGGTGGCCAAGGCTTGAAATTAAAAGAAAACAGCAATTAAGGGGTTGTAGAACGCATTTTTAACCAAAATGGCCCGAGTAAGGCCATTTTCACTACAAGGATGCATATTTCCTACAATTCTTGTCAAGTGACCACATAAATAGTCATAACATACCAATATCATTTATATATAGGTGTCCAAGGCTTGAAGCTAAAAGAAAACAACAATTAAAGGGTTTTAGAACGCATTTTCAACCAAAATGGCCCGAGTAAGGCCATTTTCACTACAAGGATGCCTATTTCCTACAATTCTTGTCAAGTGACCTCAAAAATAGTCATAACATACCAATATCACTTATATATAGGTGTCCAAGCCTTGAAACTAAAAGAAAACAACAATTAAAGGGTTTATAACGCATTTTCAACCAAAATGGCCCGAGTAAGGCCATTTTCACTACAAGGATGCCTATTTCCTACAATTCTTGTCAAGGGACCTTATAAATAGTCATAACATGTCTTTATCACTTATTTATAGGTGGCCAAGGCTTGAAATTAAAATAAAATAGCAATTAAAGGGTTTTAGAACGCATTTTCAACCAAAATGGCCCGAGTAAGGCTATTTTCACTACAAGGATGCCTATTTCCTACAATTCTTGTCAAGTGACCTCATAAATAGTCATAAAATGTCTTTATCACTTATTTATAGGTGGCCAAGGCTTGAAATTGAAAGAAAATAGCAATTAAAGGGTTTTAGAACGCATTTTCAACCAAAATGGCCCGAGTAAGGCCATTTTCACTACAAGGATGCCTATTTCCTACATTTCTTTTCTAATGAACTCATAAATAGTCATAACATGTCTTTATCACTTATTTATAGGTGGCCAAGGCTTGAAATTAAAATAAAACAACAATTAAAGGGTTTTAGAACGCATTTTCAACCAAAATGGCTCGAGTAAGGCCATTTTCACTACAAGGATGCCTATTTCCTACAATTCTTGTCAAGTGACCTCATAAATAGTCATAACATACCAATATCACTTATATATAGGTGGCCAAGACTTGAAACTAAAATAAAACAGCAATTAAAGGGTTTAATAACGCATTTTCAACCAAAATGGCCCGAGTAAGGCCATTTTCACTACAAGGATGCCTATTTCCTACAATTCTTGTCTAGTGACCTCATAAATAGTCATAACATGTCTTTATTACTTATTTATAGGTGGCCAAGGCTTTAAAATAAAAGAAAATAGCAATTAAAGGGTTTTAGAACGCATTTTCAACCAAAATGGCCCGAGTAAGGCCACTTTCACTACAAGGATGCCTATTTCCTACAATTCTTGTCAAGTGACCTCATAAATAGTCATAACATGTCTTTATCACTTATTTATAGGTGGCCAATGCTAGAAATTAAAAGAAAATATCAATTAAAGGGTTTTAGAACGCATTTTCAACCAAAATGGCCCGAGTAAGGCCATTTTCACTACAAGGATGCCTATTTCCTACATTTCTTTTCTAATGAACTCATAAATAGTCATAACATGTCAATATCACTTAGTTATTGGTGACTAAGGCTTGAAATTACAAGAAACGAGCAAGTAAGGCGTTTCGGAACGCAATTTCAACCAAGATGGCATACCTCTTCAAGTTGTTGTGTGTCTGTACAATGACTCATCACTATGTCATACATGAATCTCATCACGTATAGGCCACAATCAACTCCGTTTTCTTGTTATGCGCACTAGCAAGAGGAACAAAATGGCACATGAATCACAATGCATAGCAAATTAGCCACATCTTACGCATTATATATTAAGAATATCACAACATTATGTGGCATTACCTTGGGTGCTTTCCATGTAGGACCTCGAGGAGCTCGAGGATTTATCTTCTTCATAACACTACATAGAAAAGAAGTTCAAATTTGATTAGTATAATTAATACATATGAGTTAGGTTATGATAATCAATAACAAGAATTGAAACAAACAAGATATTTACTTTTGCAGTATGGACCTCACGAGGCGCTTTCTTGGTTGAGGTAAACGAGCAGAATTAAAGAAGAAGATTGTGTTACTGGAAACACAAATCACCAGTAGGGTCCAATGAGAACTACACACGAGACAAACCAATCAATATTTAGACTAGTACAGCATATAAACACACAAAACAAATGAATTTGACAATCATAATCAGACGTACTCCTCATAATATGGGACGAATATAAACTTGTCTCTCGCAGTCACTGATTCCTTGATAGCCCGTTCAGCATAGTACAACACATCAGCGGAGTTGCCTAAGATTCTAGCAGTGGACATCTGCTCAGGGCATAACCACCCAATTTGACACGGAGATTCAAGCTCCCATATTTGCTTCTGGAGTGCTCTGCATGCATGATAATAGAATGTTAATCGAAAACCAAACGACAATCACCACTAAATAGAATAGGATAAATAGAGTACTAGTTGAATTACCTCATGCATATTTGAAGAAGGGAAATGTTAAGCATTACACCACTTAGAAATTCCTTCCCATCTTCTTTGAATAGCCATGCGGTTGCATCATCATCGTAGTGGAACATTTCCTTAGGTAGTGGAACTTCAACAGGGCTATCACTAGGCAACACACAAACACGGTTGTGCAGATAAGTTAACTCCTTAGAGAGCGATTAAAGCACCGTGTCTTCAACTAGTGGAGTAGCTTGCATAGCTGAACCTCGCGAAGAGCTCTTGTTCGGCGCTTTTCCACTCATCGACCCATGTTCACTCCTCTTCTTTGACATCGATCGATCAATGCTCGTTTGCCCCTCCACCCTCTTCTTTGAAGTTTGGCTTTTCCTCGATGACTAATAAGACAAATTACAGCACACAAATGGTTAAAAAAGAATTTCTACAAACTCTTGGGATTAAAATCGGGTATAGAGTAAAGCGTGAACTCTAAATGTAAATTACCTGGGTCGTAAACCGTATCCAAGCACATGGCCATTGCACAAAACTACCTTTGGCTGCCCAAAGTGTAGTGAACTCATCTTCCTCTACGGGCACAGGTATTAGGATGTCCTCGAACCCAGCCACCACAGAATTGATCCCAACCGAATAGTGCTCTGGCCGAAGCGGTCGCAAATGGACCGTACCTTGTTCGGCCGGTTGAGCACTTCCATACGCAACCAAGTTCAAGGCTCCACTGTATGAATCGCCCGGGTGAAGAAGTTCACAACGGGTCTCTTCCTACACCAATTAGGAAGATCAATAGCAGTTCAATAGCAACACATCATTAGCAACTCAACCGCAACAACATACAACACAAAACAACGCAAAAACCGCACAACAGAACAAACTTCACAAATTCACAGCTGAATCAATGAACCAATATCACCATCCAAAGAAATAAATACACAACTCACCTGTAGAACCGGAAAGTCATGAGGTGTTGGATTTTCAAGCTCCCTCAAGTACGCATGTGCAGGATTACCAACCTGCAATAGTGTATTGATAGTATGGACCTAATTAGAACCCACTTAACTAAGCAAGTCAAAATACTTATAGATTAGAAACCACTTAATCATGTACCTCCTCGTCTGCATGTATCTCATCTTCTCCTTGTTTTCGTGGATAACTACAAGAGTCGACCGGTGTAGTCGAGGAGAAAGGCAAGCTCGGAAAGTTCACTTGCTTTGCCCATGCATTGAACTCTTCTCGCATCTCGTTGCACACTTGTTCCTTAATTGATGCCACCGTAGCATCCAAGTTGACCGGTGAGTTCACACTTGCCCGAGATCTTCCTGATTTGGTATATTCAGGACCCATCACCTTCTCCCATCCTAGCAAGCTCCCCCCCCCCCCCCCGCACCCAAAACGCGTCCTGGATGGTAGGGCTTTCCCAAAGCCAAGGTGAAAGGGTCCTTCTCCACTGTTGGGATGAGCTTGCCTTCAACAAGCTCTCTAGTGTACTCAAGCTGTAGCAAAAGCAAAAAGGCAACATCAAGTTAGTGTTTATGTAAAGTGATATATGTACAACAGATTCATGCAGTTCACAATTCATAGTTGCTTACAAGTTTATCTGCCATTTCTTTTGTTTCCGGAGCCTTGATGGACCATTTTCCGGTTTTCTTGTCACGAGAATGCAAAGAACAGAAGAAATCTCCAGCACGACTCACCAAAGTACTGGTCGTGGAGTCAGAGGGCACAGTGGAGGACCCTAGTAGCGAAGTGGGGTATACTCCCTCACTTACCCACGTCTCCCTACATTCATCATACGTCATACACCCCATTCGATGGTAGTATTGCTTCTGCAATGCATTCTTGGAATTCTGCTCTCTTATTTCCTACATAATTAGACATATTAGTTTCAAAACTACCAACATATATTAAATATATTTTACAATTGTCATGAGAGTTACTTGAACTTACAATTGCTTCTTTTTTTGCTTTTTTGAAGAACGAAAGCATCCCAATCTTCCTTTGATACACTAGGCCATATTTGCCATGGGAGTTTCTCTTCATCGATGACTTCTTCATCCATGCCACCTTCTTTCTTGTTCTTTGGTTTTCTCACAAGCTTCTTTGTGATAAACCGACGAACTAAGGTGGTCTTGAAGCCTCTGAATCTTGCCGCAAGTAAGGATTCAAACACCCTTCGCTTGGCGTACTCACTTGGAATGTTAAATAGACTCTGCAAGTACAAATAACAGTCATTATTAGTTTTCCCATTTAATAACAATAAAATGAAGGAATTTGTAAATGTGCAAAAAAAACACTTACCCTAGTATCATTCCAAAATGTGTCAATCAAGCCTGTAGGTACTTTGCTCAAACGAAGAGTAATGGGAATTTTGCGCGCACAAATCCCAACTTGTACTGCATACTGACAACGCCATTTGCCTGTAAGTTGTCCTACCCTGTCATACTCCAAGACCATTGGACCGACATGTTTCTTGAAACTTGTAGTTAGACCCCTCAGATTTTTCTGCGCTGGTCCCTTCACCCCCCCTCCACTTTGATCCTCGCCGAACGACTCAGACATTGAATTCTCGATAGGAGGCGCTTGTTCAGCTGCAATTTCAAACTCATCAAGCATACGATCCAAAACATCTTGAGCCTGATCTTCTGCCTCACCCAAATCAGGCTCCTTGTTCACATCATACATCTCGTCCCCATCCTCAGATGAATCATCATCGTCGTCTGGTACATCCTCGACTACAATACGGTACTGATCGTTCGCCATGAGATGTAAAAACCTGTCATTACAAACAAAACACGTTATTAGTTGTCATATAAATAAATTGGTACTATAAACTTATAATCAAATATAAATTGCTGAATTATAATACAAATTAATATAGAAAATGGGGAACTAAGTTACTTCATTTATTTAAAAGAAATTAAGAAATATAGGCAAGTAAGTTAGCAATTTCATTCATTTTCACCTAAAATGTGATTTAATAATACTTTCGACGCCCACAATTTCAAACTAACAAAAAATAGTACCTCAATCTAATATTCCTTCGTCGTGGTCTGATCGCATGTAATTGGCTTGGTCGTCTATCTCATTTGGTACAACAGGTCTAGGAACAACGAAAGGTGCCGAGTCATCAAACGCATCATATTCTTCCTCATCCTCGACATCTCCAACGCCAAGGATTCTTCTTTTGCCGGCTAGCACAATACACCATTTTGAGTCGGCTGGGTCACTTACGTAAAACACTTGCTTGGCTTGAGATGCAAGGATGAATGGTTCAGCACTTTCATTCAGGTGGCCAAGATCTACAAGGGTAAAGTCATCGTGTTTGACATTACGCCTGATATTATCAAACCATTTACACCGGAAAAGAGAAATCGTGAAGTGACAATAATCAAGCTCCCATATTTCTTGAATTCGACCGTAGTATGACAACTCTGCATCAACAGGTGATTTATCCTTAGCACTTGCAAACTCCCTTGACGATGCCACAAGCGTTACACCACTGTTTTGGGTTGAGGATGATTTCAAATCCTGACGCTCAGTCCAAAATGTGTACCCATTTATGTCTTATCCCTCAAATGAGCGAACGTCATCCCTAGGACCATAAGCAAGCCACCTTACTGTATCTGTGACACTCTCGTACTTTCCACCCATCACTCGATCACGAAACCAACTCACAAACTTCTTATTATGCCTGTGCCCGTTCACCTTTCGATGGAAATTCATCACGCAAACTAGCCATGTGCTCGTCTAAATATGGGTGAACATCTGCAACATGGTGCAACACATATAGGTGCGCTTGGAAGAACTTATCTCGATCAGGTGACATTCGTTTCGACCCGATTGTGCCATGACCATCAAGTCTCCCTTCGTGTCGAGAAGTAAGAATACCAATAGGTTTAGCGACGGCTATATAGTCAGCCACAAAATTACCGACCTCCTCAGCCACGGTCCCTTGAATCATACTTCCTTCCGGGTGAGCCCGATTCCTGACTTTATCTTGCAATGTACCCATGTGTCTTTCAAAAGGATAGCACCACCGCATGAACACTGGACCGCATAACTTAATCTTATGCACCAAATGAAGAATAAAATGCACCATTATGTCGAAAAACGAGGGTGGGAAGTACATCTCAAATTTGCACAAAGTCACAACCACATCGGCCTGTAAAGCCTCAAGTGTACAAGGATCAAGCACTTTGCTGCATATTGTATTGAAAAATGAACAGAGGCTTGTAATAGCTTCCCGCACGTGCTTTGGTAAAATACTACGTATTGCAATTGGTAGGAAAACTTGCATCAGAACATGACAATCATGGGATTTCATACTTGTCAGCTTCAATTCTCCATTTAAGGATACAAATCTTTTCATGTTAGATGCGTACCCTGATGGAACCTTAATGCCATACAGACATGCACAAAACATCCGTTTTTCTACCCTTCACAATGTGTAGCAAGCTGGAGGTAAATAGGCCTTGCCTGACTTGGCTTTTCCCTCATTTTTCTTCTTCGACGCATCCATGGCCTTTCCCTTTCCCTTGCTCTTCCCCTTTCCTGTTTTCGAACTCAATTCCTTTTCCTTTTCCTGTTCCTTTCCCTTACTAACCCTTTGCTGAACCCACAATTCTGGACGAACCCCCATCTTTTTCAAATCGTCCCGTGCACCCTTTCCGTCCTTTGTCTTGTTTTGAACATTCATCAGGGTTCCCACAAGAGCATCACACACATTTTTCTCTATATGCATTACATCAAGACAGTGCCTAACATCATGTTCTTTCCAGTACGGGAGCAACCAAAAGATTGATTCTTTTTTAAAGAGAGAAGTTGACTCCGCCGCTTTTTCTGATTTCCCAAACACTGTTCGTACACCCTTTACTCGAGCGTAAACCTCCTCACCAGTCAACGGCCTAGGAGCAGTCCCCTCTTCCACTGTCCCATCAAAAGCCTTTTTCTGCCTACGGTACGGGTGATCGCGCCTGAGCAACCTTCGGGTGCGCAAGTACACCTCTTTGTGAGAATGATCAAGGCGCCTGCTTGGCGTATCATCAATACAAATGGGGCATGCTTTTTTCCCTTTGTTCTTATACCCGGACAAGTTGCCATACGCAGGAAAATCATTAACGGTCCACATAAGAGCTGCACGCAATGTGAACATCTCATTCTTATGAGCATAAAAAAACAGAAACCCCTTCGTCCCACATCTTTCTCAAATCATCAACAAGGGGCGCAAGATAGACATCTATGTCGTTTCCAGGTTGCCTTGGTCCCGATATCAAGAGTGAAAGCATTACATATTTCCGTTTCATGCACAACCAAGGAGGCAAATTGTAGATCACTAAAAGTACCGGCCATGTGCTGTGCTGGGTACTAAGAGTGCCAAATGGATTCATCCCGTCCGTGCACAAACCAAGCCTTAAATTTCCGACTTCATCACCAAATTCCCCAAACTTCATATCAAGGTTCTTCCATTGCGGGGAGTCGGCTGGGTGCTTCAGCATTCTGTTTTTCTTTCTTCCCTCTGCATGCCACCTCAAGTTTTTAGCGTCTGTTGGTGTTGAGAATAGACGCTTAAACCTTGGAATAATGGGAAGATACCACAACACCTTAGCAGGCGGTCTCTGCTTACCAACATTGCAACTCATGCGCTTGTAGTGCGACTTCTTACATCGTGGACACTCCTCCAATTTTTCATATTCATTTCGATAAAGAATACAATCATTAGGACATGCATGTATCTTCTTATACTCCAAACCAAATGGACACATGAGCTTCTTAGCGTAATAGTAAGACTTAGGAATTTCATTCCCTTCGGGCAACATCTCACTTAACACGCTCAACAAAGAAGTAAAACTACTGTCCGTCCACCCATGCTTCGACTTAATGTTAAAAAGTGTTAGCACGGCGGATAGTTTAGAGTATTTTTTGCACCCAGGATACAAAGGCTTTTTAGAAGCCTCCGATAATGACTCAAACACGTCCCCTTCAAAACCACGCATCATCTCATCCACCCCTTCATCCTCGACCTCATCCACATGATCATCCTCAAATCCATCCTCAGCATCATGATCAACAATATGTTCATCATTATTCTTGTACTCCTCATCCACACAAATGTCATTGCTTCTATCATCATGCACATCATTCCCAATAACATCCCCACTGTATTCTCCTTCTTCACCGTGCCAAATCCACACATGGTATTTAAGCCTAAACCCACGACAAACTACATGATCTCTAATGATAGCAACACTATTGACCACCTTCACATTATTACAATCAACACAAGGACAATAGAGGCAATCGAAACCCATTATGCGCTTGTAAGATGAAGCCCTCTCGCAAAACTCTTGAACCCCATTAAAGAATTCCAATGTATCACGTCTACCATACATCCAGCCACGATCCTTCTCCATTACGTAAATTGTCTCTAAGCATGGCAACTTATTATGAATCATGTGTAATTGCTACCATCTATTATATATGTAAATCAAATTCAAACACACAACATGCATATAACATTCATATAGATACAAAAATGCATATATGCTTCCAAAGGGTCCTTATCACTCCAACCTAACCCATCCTTGAACGTTTACTCTCACTAGTGAATGTATGTCAAATTTCCAATTTTAAGGAAAATCCGGCAGCATTTCCCCCCAGTTCTCCAAGTACACGATGTAGGTAATAAGTTACCCACATATGTACCCAAAGAACATGGTGTTCGAGGAAATGGTAAGCCAAGATTTTCCTTAAAATCGAAAAAAATAGACATACATTCACCACCTAAGTGAGAGTAAACGTTCAAGAACAGTCCCAACCGGGGACTATTCAAGACTTTCTCTTAATGAGAAAGCCTTGAACGGGTATCTAGGCATATGATGATGCAAACATTTCATATATTTAATGTTGTATTTAGTTTGTCATTATATATACACAAATCTAATAGCTAGCATGAAAAAACGTTTATTAAAATAATAATAGAGAGAAACAAATATTTATAGCTTAGAAAAGTTTATAATTCATACCAACACAATAGATGTATTCTTTCTAACTTCCCAGTTGAGCTAAATTAATGTGTAGTCTTCAAACTACACTTGAACTTCATTCACATATGAACCTATAAAAAGAAGAAACAAACTAAAAGTTATTAGTAAGTATGTATGAGAAATGGATAATAAATACAAATAGGGGCATATGATTAAAGAGAACGAGAGATTCTCTAAAGTTAGCAATCAAATGTGAAACTATGCCCCCCTATATGGTTCATTCTAACCAATAAGAATATTTATTGACATAAATATGTAAATTGGGATTTTTTTTAGAATTCTTGGTAGTTTAGTTGA